GTGTGTGTGTGTGTGTGTGTGTGTGTGTTTGTAAGTGTCAGGGAAGAGCATATGAAAAGCTCAGAGTAGCAGTTTCTAATATACAAATATTTATCTGGCACAGGTGATGGCTTTGTGAGTTTTTTAATCTGTCTGTTAGTAAAATATCTCACGAGCCACAGGACAAATTTTAATGACATTTTGGTTAAAACTACTGAGTTTGGAATCAACACAATTTATGATGGCATATGCAATCAACCTTAGCCATCTGAAAAATGACTAACTTGGGTATTGAGCTCAAACTTGGAAGCTCTTGGCAGAAGCTTTCTGACATATGTTCAGAGCGTGATATCTCAAAATATCATGGCTTTACCAAAATGAATACACCTCCCTTTATTTCTCATCAAAACATGATCGTAAGTAAGTAAGTAAGTAAGTAAGTAAGTAAGTAAGTAAGTAAGTAAGTAATTACCTAATTTCCCTCTGGGATCAATAAAGTATTTTTGAATTTAAATTGAATTGAAGTAAGCAAGTCTGCTACTGAGTGAGTGAGTGAGTTATTGATAGTTAAATTTTTTTGCTTTGTAAGCTCAAAAAATGATGATCGTATTATACTTGCGATCGTATTGTATATGAATAAATACGATAAGTAAGTAAGTAAGTAAGTAAGTAAGTAAGTAAGTAAGTAAGTAAGTAAGTACGTAAGTTAATTAGTAAGTAAGTAAGTTAGACAGATAGTAAGTAAGTAAGTTAGTAAGTAAGTAAGTTAGTAAGTAAGTTAGTTAGTAAGTAAGTAAGTTAGTAAGTAAGTAAGTTAGTAAGTAAGTAAGTTAGTAAGTAAGTTAGTTAAATAGTAGGTAAGTAAGTAAGTAAGTTAGTTAAGTAATAGGTAAGTAAGTAATAGGTAAGTAAGTAATAGGTAAGTAAGTAATAGGTAAGTCAGTCCGTCAGTCCGTCAGTTGGATATTTATTAAGTAAGTAAGTAATTACCTAATTTCCCTCTGGGATCAATAAAGTATTTTTGAATTTGAATTGAATTGAAGTAAGTAAGTCTGCTACTGAGTGTGAGTGAGTGAGTGAGTGAGTGAGTGAGTGAGTGAGTGAGTGAGTGAGTGAGTGAGTGAGTGAGTGAGTGAGTGAGTGAGTGAGTTATTGATAGTTAAATTTTTTTTGCTTTGTAAGCTCAAAAAATGATGATCGTATTATACTCGCGATCGTATTGTATATGAATAAATACGATAAGTAAGTAAGTAAGAAAGTTAGTTAGTTAGTTAGTTAGTTAGTTAGTTAGTTAGTTAGTTAGTTAGTTAGTTAGTTAGTT